TGAATAGACAGTTTTCCACAGGAGACACACAAATTGCTAACAGACATATGAAAAGATGCTTAGTATCACTGATCACTGATCATCAGGAAAATACAAATAAAAACTACAATGATGTATCACCTCATACTAGTCAGAATGGCTAAAATTAACAACCCAGGAAACAACAGGTATTGGCGAGGATGCAGAGAAAGGGGAAACCTCTCAGGCTGTTGATGGGAATGGGTGCAGCCACGCTGGAAAATAGTACGGAGGTTTCTCAAAAAGTTAAAAATAGAACTACGCTATGATCCAGCAATTACACTACTAGGTATTTACCTAAAGGATACAGAAAGTACTGATCCAAAGAGATACATGCACCACGATGTTTATAGCAGCATTAACAATAACCAAATTATGCAGAGAGACCAAATGTCCATCAAATGATGAATGGATAAAGAAGGTGGGGTATATATATATATATACAGTGGAATATTACTCAGCCATAAAAAAGAAAGAAATCTCGCCATTTGCAACGACATGGATGCAGCTAGAGACTCTTATGCTAAGCAAAATAAGTCAGAGAAAGACAAATACCATATGATTTCACTCATGTGGAATTTAAGAAGCAAAACAGGTGAACACGGCGGGGGGAACAAACCAGGAAACAGACTCTTAACCATAGAGAAAAACTGAGGTTACTGGAGGGGTGGTGGGTGGGGGGGAGGTTCTATGGGTGATGGGTATTAAGGAGGGCACTTGTGATGAGCACTGGGTGTTGTATGTAAGCGCTGAATCACTAAATTCTACTCCTGAAAGTAATATTATACCCATATGTTAACTAATGGAATTTAAATGAAAACTTGAAAAAGGAAAAAAAAGGAATATTTTTACCCTAGTATTTTAACTTTTTTACTTTTAAATCTTTATATGGAATTTATTTTTGTAGTCATGCTAGCAGTATAAAAGCCATACTTTCCTTTTATAAAAAATCATTTATTTGTGGTATAGAACTTTAAAAAATATTACTTGTGCTTAGCTTTTTTTTTTAAAGCTCATAAATGAATTACTCTGGAAGATTAGGTATTCCATAATACCTTATACTGAATTTTAAGTATGACTGCATAAAGGCTCTATATTATGAATTCCTATAGCAGAAAATGCAAATAGGAAAACTGTACCATGATAGCTTTTATGTCAGAGGCCTTCAAAATATTGAAAGTGATTATTCCATTTGGCTTTTTTCTGATTAGAGAACCAAGTATCTAGGTTAGTCCATAAGTAATTAACTCATCTAATCTTGATCCAGGAAGCATGTTTAATTCATCTTATATTGAAATTAACTCTTAAATCCCAAAGGTTCACAACTTAAGATAGTTGAGGTGGGATGGGGAAATAGGGGAAATAATTACAAAAACAATTCAGGTAATAGCCAATGTGGATTATAGCCACTGATTTGGGTGATCCAATTGTGTGTCTATAAATATTTGCTTCTGATTAACATAGATGGTCTTTAATAAAAAGAAGAATGATTAAATACTAGTCTAGTCAGTCAAGACATCATATATTCTTCATCATAATAATTATTACACATTGGTAGATTTTTATTGTTCGGATAGTTTTATTTTTTTTTTAAATATATTTTTTTAAAGATTTTATTTATTTATTTGAGAGAGAGAGAATGAGAGATAGAGAGCACGAGAGGGAAGAGGGTCAGAGGGAGAAGCAGACTCCCCGCTGAGCAGGGAGCCCGATGCGGGACTCGATCCCGGGACTCCAGGATCATGACCTGAGCTGAAGGCAGTCGCTTAACCAACTGAGCCACCCAGGCGCCCCTTGTTCGGATAGTTTTAAATAATGTCCTGTGAGAAACATAAAAGCTTGAGCATGTGAGGGCAGTCTAGCTCTGATCCTCCCCCACTCGGTCTGATTGATAAAAATGGACTCTTGAGTATGCATGTTGAGTCATGGAGGATGATCATCTATAAGTGAGAAAAATTACTTTGTCTAGAGCTTAAACTTCATAAATGTTTTCTGAAGTAGCTCTTGAAAAATAGACTTCCTGAGAATTTATGCAACTTGTCTGCTTAGAGCAAAGGAGCAGATTCCAAGGCAATGGAGATATTTATCCTTTCATGGCTCAGGAAGGCAGCAGAATCCAGAGGTTAAGAGCCAGACTTCCTGGGTTCAAATCCCTACTTTGCTTCTCACTGTAAATACTGAGTAAGATAACCTCTGTGCCTGGGGATTCTTATTTACTAAATGAGAATACTTATAGGATTCTGTGAGCATTAATGATTAACATGATTAATCTTATAATTAATATACAAAGGGCTAGGAATAGTGCTTGACACATTCTGAACTCCACAGTAGGAACTCAATAATAAATGCTAGCTGTGTTTCTTTAGTCTTTACCTTTAGCTTCATACATGACTTAGGAATGGGAACAATTGGTGATGAGTGGCATGGTGTCTTCAGCCATATAAAAGGATTTACTACTGATGAACCACCTTCTCTTTGCCAAGAAGGGCCCTGGTTTGGGACATTCAAGAAAAGCTGAGAGGGATGCCTGGCTGGCTCAGTTTATGGTAGAGTATGTGACTCTTGATCTTGGGGTTGTGAGTTTGAGCCCCACGTTGGGTGTAGAGTTTACTTAAAAGTAAAATAAAATTAAAAAAAGAAAAGGAAAGCTGAGAAAACCAGGGGGTTCTGGCAGCCTGAGGAACTGGCACACTAAATTCTCACATATACTTGAAGGATGATTGAATTCTGGTGAGAAAAATATGGGCATGGTTGTGGGGATAGACTAAGATTTATTGAGCACCTCCAGTGTGACAGACACTGGTAGACATTTATGTTTGCTCATTGATTAATAATAAAAGTGAAAGGAGGAAGAATGATTGCTACACTAACTCCTTTCTCTTTTCTAGTCTAACCCCTCATTTGTTTTCTCTGGTTCTATCCCATTCCATTATCTCAGGTAGACCTCCCCCCTTTCTTGAACTTTACTATACATTGGCTTCTCTCCCCTTTATGCTTATTCCTCTGTCCTAGCAGAAATCCTTCCATAACTCTTCTATTCCCTTGACAAACCTTCCCAGTGTTATATTTTTGTTGCTAAAGAACTCAGAAGAAGAATTTTTATTCTCTGCCTTAACTTTCTCACCACACAGTCATTGCTCAACCCCGTAACTGACTTCTGCCACAATTAGACTCTCTGACTCTTGCCTCATTTAGCTCTGACTGAAACCTACTATGCAAGAGCTGCCCCTCTGAAATATGTCAACCACACATTACAGAAATTCCAGGACTTCAGATTTCATTTAAGTTTATTCTTTCATCTTTTTAATACAGTTAATTTACTAAATGTTGAAAAGGGTAATAATGCCCCTTAGTTATTAAAATCACTGGCTTTTTTTTCTATCCTCCTTAATTTTTCTGTAATATTTGCCAGTATTTAATTACTTTGGAAAGCCATCTGGTTTTTGTGAACTCTTCTGGTTTTACTTCTCTCAGACCATTCATCTGTGTTGTCCTTTTTAAGAATTTCTGCCCCTTTCCCCTCCCAAGTGTGTTTTCTTAGAGAGAACAATATTGTTTATACCTACCTCTATGCGAGGGACTGGAAATTTTGTGTTTCTACAGTTACTACTTGCTTAAATTCAAACTGAATTTCCAAGTATCCATTTGAATGTCAAGTTCCCCTAACACTTTATTTTGTTTTTGTTTTTGGATAAATAAACACATTTACTTGGATTATAGTCAAGTCTGGATGGACCAAAATACATCGTTTCTTAAAGTTCATTTTTCTGATATAGTATGCTTTGATTATAAAATATGCTTCAGAGAGTGATCTATTTACCTTCCCAAGTTATTCGTGAACATTTGTCTTTGACATTTGTTTTTTTTAAATTTTATTTTATCATGTTATGTTAGTCACCATACAGTACATCATTAGTTTTTGATGTAGTGTGCCATGATTCATTGTTTAAATATAACATCCAGTGCTGCATGCAATACAACACCCAGTGCTCCATGCAATACATGCCCTCAATACCCATCCCCTAACACTTTAAATTTCACATTTAATGGCATGTATTTATTTGAGTACCTACTATCTGCCAAGCACACCAGGAACTGTAGAATTTAGAGGTATGCAAGACTGAGTTCTTGCCTTAAAGATCTTAAAGAGGAGGAAGATAGAAAATAAAACATAAGCAAATGAATAAAGATAATTTCAGGTACTGTTAATTTCAGGTACTTACTATCAAGGACGTGAAGGTAGGGTATTGTTTCAGAAAATGGCTGGGGGTTGATTTTTGTTGATAAGGCAACTTCCAAAGAAGTGATGTTAGAGTGGTGCCCTGAATGATGAGAAAGATCCAGTCATGTGAACAGGTGGTGGGAGAGCTTTGTAAGAAGGAAAAGCAATTACAAAGGTCCTAAAATAAGAAAGAGTGGTACATTTAAGGGACAGAAGAAATAAGGTCATCATGGCTTGAGTATGATGACTGATGGGGAGATCATGGAGAGTTTTATGAAGCATCGTAAGGAGTTTTTATTTTACTTTTAGAAGTATTGGGGAATTTTGATATTGGAGGTGAATGCTGACTCCTATGTGGAGGAAGGGCTGGAGGAGAACATGAAACTACTTAGGAAGCTGCTGAAGTATTCAGGCAGAATTTGATTTGCATGAACTATGTTAAAGAGTTGGAAGAGTGGAAATAATTATTTCAATAAGATTCAGGATATATATTGGAAGTAGACCTGACAAAATATAGTGTTGGGTTATTGGACTTTGGGTGTTAAGGAGAAACAAGAATGGAGAATGTGTCTTATTTGGTCTTAGCCCAAAATCTTGGCCCCATTTACTGAAATGGGGAAGACTGAGGTGAGGGAACTATTTATATGCCATTAGATAGTTAAGTGGAGATGTTGAGTAGGCAATTAGATATACAAGTTAAGAGGTCTGGGTGAGAAATACAAGTTTGATAACTATTAGTATTTAGATAGTATTTGAAACTATGGTAATGGTTCAGATAACCAAAGATGGGAAGGTAGGTAGAGAAAGGCAGATGACAGAACTTGGGATTCTTCAATGTCCAGAGGCCTGGTTAAGGAAGGATGAACTAACAGAGCTGAGAAGAAATAGGTAATTGTTCAGGCACAGAGCTCAGAGAAGTAAATGTTGTAAGAAGGAGGGAATGACTATATCAAATGCTGCTGAAGATTAAAATCGGAAAACAATGGAGACTTATCATTGGCCTTGACAAGATGTCAGTCAGTGACATTGATAAGAAACTTTTGGGTGGTGTGGTAGAGATGAAAATCTGATTTGAGAGAATCAAGGGAGGTAGGGAACAGGAGACAGGAAGTATAAGATAACTTTTTAAAAGAGGTGTTGCTGTAAGCAGAGTAAAAAAGTGGAAGGGACTGAAAAAGTGGTTGGTTGCTGGGATGGCAAGTGGAGGGATTTCTTAAAGTTAGTTATATTAAGACATGTTTGCATGCTAATGGAAATAATCAGATAAAGGTAAAGAAATTGATGATGCAAAAGACCAATTGTTTTTTTAAATTTATTTTTATTTTTTATTTTTTTGCAAAAGACAACCTGTATAATTTCAGGAGGGTTCAGTTTGTGAGAATAGATGTAAGTGGGTTGTTTAGCTACGTATGGTATAGCTCAACCAATGCTTATTTATGGCACAATTTCCAGTTGGGAAGAAAAAAATTATCAAAAAAGTACACGTGGTTTAACTTCTGCTTAGCTTGGTTTTATACCTTGTACATTTTATCATCAGAATTATAATATTTAGTTTTAATAACAAAATACCTTATGCTGATTATTATGTGCTATCCACACATCTAAAAGGTTTTATGGATGTTATCTCTCTTGATCTTTACAACAACCCCATACAACAGGTTTTATTATTACCCCATTGTGCAAACGAGGAAAGAGGCACAGAAGGGTTAAGTAATTTCCCAAGCCATACTATGCTATACTGCCTTTCATTACAATAGGTATTAAAGTATGTATTCTAAGTCTTTTGGAATGTAGGATTTTGTTAATTGAGACATTTTAGTAACTGTAAGCAAAATTCTGCCTCCACCCGATTCTATTTCAAAGATGAGTATAAACTGTGTGTGTGTGTGTGTGTGTGTGTGTGTGTATACACAACTGTAAGGTTTTATAAAAATATCTGTGATTTCTCCTATTGACAAAAGTCCCAGATATTGCTAAACCTATTGTTATCTGTTGTCTACATTTGTAAAGGAAATGTTAAATTTTCTTAGAAGTTAGAGACTTCACCTTTTCCCCACCCAATGATATGAACCCTCTAAATTCTATTCACAGACTCCTTAGAAATTCATGGACTCCAGTTTTGGATTCCCTTTTCTAAGGGCTTGGATAGATTCAGGTTAAACATTTTGGCAAAAATGCTCTGTATTTCACTTTGCCTCATATCATGGCCACTTAATGTCTACTCATCCCTTTTTCAGCGATGGACCTTGAGGAAAAATTGAACCGTTATATTTTTCCCCTGTGAGTAGCATCATCATACTTGAGTACCATGAATATATCCAATTTCCTATAAACTTTTTACCTAGTGGCTTTAACATCCGTTGATGATTCTTTATCCATATGCCTTTAAGGTAGAGGTAAGTGCATATTCTAAAAGTTTGGTTAAAGTCATCTAAAATTCATGTGTCCCAGGAATGTTCATGGATAGCAGTAGAGGGGTAAGTTTCAGCTTTTGGGATAGTGGTAGGATTGCCAGATAAATTATGGGGTATCCAGTTAAATTTGAATTTTAGATAAGCAACATTTTTTTAGTGTAAGTATGTCCCAAATATTGCATATCTGAAATTGAAATTTAACAAGCTTCTTAACTTTTTATTTGCAAATCTGGCAACCCTATATTGTTAAGGCTAAGAGGGGTAAGATGGATGGTAGTGATTGGGAATATTTAAGTGTAACCCTAGCAGGATAGACTATAAGTATGTTTTAAAATACCATTGGAACTCTTGTGGTAGAATTAATATTGGCACTCATACAAGAAACCAATAATATCTACTTCTACTCTTCTTTGGCCAAGGGAGTAAGAATTGTGCTTAAAAGAAGGAGATGGAGTACCTTTGCTTTGTTTTGATTCAGCAAAAGCAGGAAATAACACCCTGCTAATTCTTATCCTAGAAATCCAAACCTAACTTCTTAAATATGTTTACGGTATGCTTATTTAGAAGGCAAAATGTTATCTTATTTTAGACCAAGAGTCTACTAACCTTTTCTGGGGAGATTCAGGTAGTAATATTTTAGGCTTTGCATATTATACAATCTCTATTGCAGTTGCCTAACTTGTACCATGAAAACAGCTGTAGAAAATATGTAAATGAATGGGTATGTTCTAAGAAAACTTTATTTACAAAAACAGGCAACCCGTTGCATTTGGCCCACAGATTGTAGTTTGCTGAGACCTGTTCCCGTCAAGCAAACAATAATCCAATGATTATCTTTACATATGGCTTATAATTCTTCCAACCCAGGGGTTCCACAGTGTGACCGAGGGGGCTGCTGAGGAAGCCCCTGAGGAAGCTCTCATAGATATGATGGTGCCTGTAGTGATGCACTATTGGGTCAGAATTCGAAGTCCCCTGAGAGTGTTAGTGCTGACTCTGCCTGGTATAGTTGAACTGGCATGACTGAATTTGAAGGCTCAACAGAGTTAAGAAATGTTAGTTATCCTTACCTTTGAAATAAACCGTTTGATTATGGTTTGGGAAAAGTTATCCATCTATTCACATCCCATTTTTAAAATATTTAGGCCCCCTTTTTATAATAAATTCTTTATAATGCTTTCTTTTACATGAAATGAAATTTACAACAATGAACTAACTAATATAAAGGGGAAAAACTTTTATATTTTGACAATATTATGTGTGTAAATAGTATGATAGTGGTTTTATGTTTCAAAAAATTTGCATTTCTTTCATTATTTGTGAAGTGAACTTATTTTCATATATTTTTGGTCAATTGACATTTTTTTCTCTTCTTATTGTCTGTCTATTTTACCTATTTTCCTATTGGGATATTTGATCTTTTATTCTTAAATTATAGTTCTTCATATATTCTGTATCCTTATCCTTACATTGCAAATCAAATAATCTTTTTTTAAAAAAAGATTTATTTATTTGACAGAGAGAGACACAGTGAGAGAAGGAACACAAGCATGGGGAGTGGGAGAGGGAGAAGCAGGATTACCATGGAGCAGGGAGCCCAATGCGGGGCTCGATCCCAGGATCCTGGGATCATGACCTGAGCCGAAGGCAGACACTTAACGACTGAGCCACACAGGCGCCCCCAAATCAAATAATCTCCTCCCATGCATGTCCTATTATCTTCAAGGCCATAAAGACATTCTATATTTTCTCCATTAAAGTTTTGCTATAATGTTTAAGTCTTTTATCTATCTGAAATTTGTGATGCACTATATAGGACCATTTTTTTCCATATGAAAAGGCATGCTGTGTTAGTAACATTTATTATTATTATGATATATTTATTCACAGTAGATTATAATGCCATCTTTGTCATATACTGTTTTCATATATATGAGTCTCTTTGCTTCTTTTTACTATTCCATTCTATTTTTTTTAAAGATTTTATTTATTTATTTGAGAGAGAGAAAGCATGAATGGGAGAAGCAAAGGGAGAGGAAGAAGGACAAGCAGACTCCCTGATGAGTGTGGAGGCCCATGCAGGACTCAATCCCAGGACCCTGAGATCATGACCTGAGCCAAAATCAGACACTTAACTGAGCCACCCAGGCGGTCCTGTTCTATTCTATTTTTTAGGTTCTATGTCAATTCCATATTTCTCAATTACTATACTTTTATAACAAGTCTTGATATTTGGTAAAGCAAGTACCCCACTCTCTCCTTTCTCCTTTGTTCTTTAAAGTTATCTTTCATATTTTTGACTGTTTTCTCTTCCACAAATCAGCTTATGAAATGCTCTGAAAAATTTTGTTGGAACTTTGATTGCAACTGCACTAAATTTATAGATTGTATTTGGGGAAAATTTAATCTCATTATCTGAAAAAATGACTGAGAATTTTCCAAAATACAAGAAAAATGAAGGACCTTAAGTTGTCAGGGCCTTCAGAGTGCTAACTAGGATATATAAGTCAAAACCAATAGGTTTTCTGTATAGTATAAGTAATAGAAAATGTTATAGAAAAAAATTTATCTAAAAACAGCAAATTCTAGAAGGTTCCTAAGAAGAAATTTAACATAAGATTTAGAAGATTGAGGTAGGTAGAAGAATGGCCTTCAAAGATGTTCATGTTCTAATGCCAGAACCTGTGAATATGCTACATTATATGGACAAGGGAATTAAGATTTATATATGGAATTAAGGTTGTTAATCAGTTGACCTTAAAATGAGGAGATTATTCATTAAAATAATGTTTGCTGCAGGTGTTTGATGGCCCAACTATTATTTTCTTATCAGTGAAAATCTTTATCTATGTAATCTGTTCCTTTTAAGTTTATAAAAACTACCCTGTGAAACTATTGGAATAGGTATCTGTTATGGAAGGAGACATTTGCTTACTAATTCAATTTTTTTTAAGATTTTATTTATTTATTTAAGAGAGAGAGAGAGAGAGAGAGCATGAGCAGGGAGAGGGAGAGAGAGAGGGAGAAGCAGATTCCCATGATGAGAAGGGAGCCCCAATAGGGGGCTTGATCCCAGGACCCTGGGATCATGACCTGAACCAAAGGCAGATGCCCAACCAACTGAGCCACCCAGGTGCCCCACTAATTCAATTTTTAAAATTGTTTTTTCCAGATTTTTCTAAAGCTTTTTAAATATTTTTTGTAATTTGTATCTAAAAGTTATCACTTCTGGTAAATTTTTGTATTTGTTGGTGTATAAATATGTACTATGGGCTTACAATTTTTAAATTTTCTGTACCATTTTATAATGTCTTCTTTTTCATTCTTAATATTTTTAATTTATGACTTTTCTTTTTTTCTTTACCAATATTTCTAGAGTGTAGTTTATTTTATCATTTTCCTCCCAAAGATTCAGTCTAGTTTTTTTTTTTTTTCATCCTTTCTATGTTTCTTTGGTTTTCTATTTCACGGATTTTTGCTTTATTTAGATTTATTGTATTATAGGGCACCTGGGTGGCTCAGTTAGGGTTTAAGCATTGACTCTTGATTTCGGCTCAGGTCATGATCTGAGGTTTGTGAGATCAAGCCCTGCCTCGGGCTCCTCACTCCCCACTCAGTGGGGAGTCTGCTCTGCCCCTCTCCCTTTGCCCCTCCCCCTGCTTACTCACTCTCACTAGCTCTCTCTCTAAAATAAATAAATCTTAAAAAAAATATTTGTGTTATACTTATTCTAACCTTTAAATTAAACACAATTATTTTAGGTCATTCTTACTATTAATAAGTATATTTAAAGCTCTGCATTTGCCTTTAAATAAAGCTTTGATTCATCCCACAAACTTTGACATGTAGTATCAGTGGTATGCTGCAGTTGACTCACTGCTCACAAGAACTGATTGTATGCATCTCTTCCAACTCCACATTTATGTTATGTACCTTGAAATTGGCCATGGTGGGAGTGTTTATACCACAGAAATTAGCAAGCACTAAAAGTCAGTTTTTTGTTTTTGTTTTTGTTTTTCCACCAGAAAGCTGATTGTTAAAATATTTAGCAGCACACTGCTGTGTAGTATTTTCATTGTTTAGTTCTAAATATTCTGTAAAGTTAATTGTGATGTCCCTTTATCCCACAATTTATTTAAGAATGTATTTTTAAGTTTTCAAAGATGTGCTTTATTCTTTTAAAACTATCTTTTAATTGAAGATTTTTAATTTAATTGCTCTTTGGTCAAATAGCATGGAAACAAACCATGAGGGAGAGGACTTCTGTGCTATTATTTTATTAGTGAGGATAATTTCAAGAGTAGAAGTAATATATAAGAGGAAGCAGAGATGGAGGAAGAGTCCACGCAAAAATGCGTTAAGAGCTGGCAACCACTAAGTGTGACTCAATCCTCAATTTTTTGAGCTACTCTCTTTACGGTCACATGAACTACGTCTCAGAACTGTCAGTTCTGTAGGAGAGAGGAAGAAATTATCCAATGGCATTCTTTCCCATTGGTCAAATGTTAGCACTGTAGAGCATCAACCTTCCCACACTTCTAGGTTATACATATGAGAGCACCCAATAAGTTCCTGCAGCATCCTGGGCCTCAACATCAACAGGGTAGCCACTGGGTAGGAGTGAGAGGTCTATAGTTAGGCCTGGCAAGGAGGCTCTATCAGGCCATGCCAACAGATGGCATAGGGAAGCTGGAGCAACTGTTATGTAGATGCCTCAGTCTGTAGCCAGTGATTGTAAACTGTCCCTGTGATTTCAGAAACAGAACAAGTCACTGCTTGGGCACTCTAGTCAAAAGGCAAATGCTAAGATCTGGAGGATGGACCGGGCACTATATATTTTACAAATCAACATTTATTTAAAAAAATCTATAGCGTTCTATGTGTTCCCTTTTGTACTGACATGTTTATTTATTTTGGATACATTTTGGTATAAATCATTGCATTTTGTAGATCTGTTGTGCTTATGTGTGCTATGAGATTCTTAAGACTAAGATTCATAGTAGAGAGAAATTGACACTTCTTTATTATTTTGAAAAAAAAAAAGGGAGGACCTTCACACCTTAGAAAACATCATGTTCTCATACTTCCTATGGAGCTCTCTCCTGGATATGGATCAGGGGTTGCAGCTCTTTGATTCTTCCTTCAACTTTGTCCCCATCCTTTACCTAACTTACTTTGGCCAGTGGCTACACTTGGGCACTCACCATTGGGGCAATACCAATAATGTATGCATAATCTTCTCTCAAAGCCAGAATCAACATTTTAAAACTAAGAATGATTGTCATTCAGAAAGCTTGGGATAATTTTTATAAGTAATATATTAATTCTTATGAAAATAATTCCCCCTTTTGCTATAATTTGGACTTTTCCTGGAATATAATCTTGACATAAAATGATGTCACTCCGTAAAAAATTCCAAAGTAAAAAATAAGTGAATTGGGGATTTTATTTTCTTTAGGATTACATATGCCACTAATTTTCTCCATGCACACTTAAGGTTTTTTTTTTTAATGGATTTTATTATTTACAGTGGTTTTAGGTTCACAACAAAATTGAAAGTACAGATTTCCCATATACCCGTTGTCCCCACATAAGCATAACCTCCTCATTATCAACCATCTTCCCTTAGAATGGTAAATTTGCTACAATTGATGAAACTAAGCTGACATATCTTACCCAGAGTCTATAGTTTACATTAGTGTTCACTCTTGGAATTGCAGATTCTATGGGTTTGGACAAATGTATGATGATACGTATCTGCCGTTACAGTATCTATCATACAGAATAGTTTTATCGCCCTAAACATCCTCTGTGCCCTGCCTATTCATCCCTCTCTTTAACTTAAACCATGGCAACCACTGATCTTTTTACTGTCTCCATGGTTTTGCCTTTTCCAGAATGTCATAGTTGTATTCATCCAGTATGTAGACTTTTTAGACTGGCTTCTTTTGCTTGAAATTATGCATTTAAGTTTCCTCCATGTAATTTCATGGCTTGATTCAT